TCTTCAAACAAAATAGGGCATCATCTAAGGGAAATACGTCAGAGACAGACAAGCACCATCCATGTGAGCTCACTTACTATGTGGAACCTAAAAACAAAACGAACAAAAAAAAAACAAGCTCACAGATACAGGAGAGATTGGCGAGTTGTGGGGGTATGGGTCGGGTGAAAGGAGCAAAGGTATCAAACAAAAAGCACTAGCTTCGAGTTGTGACCTGAACAAGGCACGGGGCTATAGCACACATTGCGGTGACTGGAACTCGTAATGCTGTACTGCGTATCTGAAAGTAGCTAAGAGAGTGAATCTTCCAGGTTCTCTTCACAAGAAACCCAATTTTGAACTATGTGTAGTCCGGATGGTAGCTTATTGGGGTGATCACTTCGCAATACATATATTGAATTACTGTGTTGTACACCTGACACCAGTGTGTCAGATACTCCTCAATTAGAAAATACAGCGGAGAACGCACTGCATATCCAGTAGGATGGCCACCCTCGGAAGGATGGGTGACAGCAAGTGCTGGTGTTGACCTGGAGCCCTTGATACGCTGTTGCTGGCAACAAGGAGATGGTGCGACTGCTTTGGGAGGATATGGCAGTTCCACAAAGTAGCAGAACCATCGCATGACTGAGAGCTACCGTACGGCTCAGCACTGCCCTCCTAGGTATGTACGCACGAGAAATGAGCACATACCTCTTCATGAAACCTGACACATGATGTTCATAGCAGTGCAGTTTATAACAGCCAAAAATTGGAAACAATCAACTAAAATTTGACATATTTGCACATTGAACAAAATGTGACATATTTGTACAATGAAATATTCTGCAATAAAAAATGAACTGCTGATACACGAGCATCTTACAACAGGGTGAACCTTGAAAATGTTATGCTGAGTGGAACAAGACAGGCACAAAAGACCACATACTGCATGGTTCTATTTATACAAAATACCCAAAATGGGCAAAACTGCTGGGACTGTGGCCAGGTGTGAGTGGGGACAGGGAGTGACAGCGAAGTGGGTTTGGGGTTTGGAGGACGAAACCATCCCACAGTTGAATAGCAGTGACAGCTGTCCCATTTTGTGGCTAGACTAAACCCAATGAATTATTTACTTTAAATGGATGAATTTCATGGTATGTGAATTTTATCTCATAAAGGTTATTTTTAAATGGCCAATTTCATCTTTTTCAGCCTAATATATTACATTAATTGAGCTCTTCCCGTACGTCAGGAACTCAACAGGAATGAACGAATGCAACCCATACCTGTCCCATATGGGCCCTGTTCTGCAGGTGGGTGAACTGCTCTGGCCCAGGGAGCAGGCAGGGTCTCAACATCCCCTTCCGAGTGTCGTCTCGGATGGGGACCAGCAGGCTGCCTCTGAACCTGTCTCTAACCTTCGATGCTCCTCCACCTTCCTGGTCTTTCCCACCACTGCTGAAGGGTGGGTGGTGGTGGGGGGAACGAAGGTGATACTGGGGAAGATGTAAGATTAAAGCAGGAAGCGCGTTTTCAGAGAAGGGTGATGTGGAGCAGCCAGGACTTGGGGCTTCATGGGAGGGAGTCAGGGTGGTCCCCGGAGCAGTGGTGATGCCACTAGATGGAGGCGGGAGTGGGAGGGAAGGGCCCAGCGTGGAGCAGTTGGGCGGATCCCAGGAAGCAGACAGTGGGCTCCCAGGAGGTGTCGACCACATGAGATGGAGGTCAGAGAGATTTATAAGGCGTCGGCATTATGGGCATTACCACAGTCAGGTCCAAAGCCATCCCACTCTGTGGCCAGGCCCCCTGGGGGAGAAGTGCTGGGGTCACGAAGGCTGAGCCCCGCAAGGAGCCTGAGAGGAAATAAAATGAGGTGCAAAGCACATGAGGGGCCCAGGGCAGGAGAGGCCTGGTCACTGGGGTTACGGCCAAGACAGTGTGACAAGGGGGGTAATGGCTCTCCAGGCGGAGGATGCCCGGGCCCAGCCAGGAAAAAACCTACCTGGTCACGGTCAATAGCAGGCCGGCAGAGGTGGGAGAGGTTGCACTTTGGTGGGCCTCTGAAGGAACAGACTAGACCTCCCTCCCACGGGCACACCACGGACATTGAGGTAAGAGCTAAAAACAAAAGCTCCAGGTGGGCAAAGAACACTGGTTTTCATTACAAGCTTTTGGGTTTTTAAAAAAATCATGTTCAGGACTTCCGGCCAAGATGGAGACATAGGTGGACACACCGTACCTCCACCTACAACCAAGATTAGAACAATTTAGAGGCAGAATAACACCCAGAACTGACAGAAAATTTATGTGAATGCAAGTCGGACAGCCAAGAAGTTGAAGCACACCCGTTCATCCAGACCGGTAGGAGGGGCGGACACAAGCAGCCAGGTGCGGCGGGCAGGCAGGGGTTGTGGCGCAGAGAACAGGGAGAATTGGGCGCCTAAGGCAACCAGGAGCGCGTAAGGCATCTGGGGTGTGCAAGATAGCAGCGGGTGGACCCTGAGTACGCAAGCAGCAGCTGGCAGACCCAGTGAGGCAGCGATTGTGGACCAGGGCAGAGCACACAACCCAGGACCCCAGGGAAGAACTGAGGTCCCAAGAAGAACAGAGCTACCGCCATTGTTCCCTCCCGCCCCCACCCCCACACACCATGTCACAATCTAGCGACGGGGGTGCCCAGCCCTGGTGAACACCTGAGGCTCCGCCCCTCACCGTAACAGGAGCAACCAGACCAAAAAAAGCAAGCGAGAGCGAGCGAGAGAGAGAGAAAGAGAATGCTCAAATAGAACAAATCAGTGCCCCAGAACTCATCCTTTTGAGCGACCAAGAAATAGCTAACCTAACAGATGCACAGTTCAAAACACTGGTGATCAGGAAGCTCACAGAATTGGTTGATTGTGGTTGCAAATTAGATGAACAAATGCAGGTTACCATAAAAGAAATGAAGGAAAATGCAAATGAACCAATAGTGTTGGGAAGGAAACTGGGACTCAAAACAATAGAGTGGACCAGAAGGAAGAAACAACCAAACAGGAAAGAATGGAGAAATAAGAATTCAAAAAAACGAGAGGCTTAGGAACCTCCAGGACATCTTTAAATGTTCCAACATCCAAATTATAGGGGTACCAGAAGGAGAAGAGGTAGAGCAACAGATTGAACAAATAATATTATTTGTTCAATCTCCTTTATTATTTGAACAAATAATAAAGCAGCAGCAGCTGGCAGACCCAGTGAGGGAGCGATTATTTGAACAAATAATAAAGGAGAACTTCCCCATTCTGGCAAAGGAAATAGACTTCCAGGAAGTCCAGGAAGCTCAGAGTCCCAAAGAAGTTGGACCCAAGAAGAAACACACCAAGGCACATCATAATTACATTAGCCAAGGTAAAAATGAAGGAGGGAATCCTAGAAGCAGCAAGAGATAAGGGGACAGTCTCCTACAAAGGAGTTCCCATCAGACTGTCAGCTGATTTCTCAAAAGAGACCTTACAGGCAAGAAGGGGCCAGAAAGAAGTATTCCAAGTCATGAAAGGCAAGGATCTATATCCCAGATTACTCTATCCAGCAAAGCTTTCCTTTAGAATGGAAGGGCAGATAAAGTGCTTCTCAGATAAGGTCAAGTTAAAGGAGTTCATCACCACCAAGCCCTTATTTTATGAAATGTTAAAGAGACTTATCTAAGAAAAGATAAAAAAAAAAACATGGATAGTAAAAGGACAGCAAACTCACAATTATTAACAACCACACCTAAAGCAAAACCAAAAGAAACTAAGCAAACACTAGAACAGGAACAGACCCACAGAAATGGAGATCACATGGAGGGTTAGCAACAGAGAAGTGGGAAGAGGAGAGAGGGGGAAAAGGTACAGAGAATAAGTAGCATAGATGGTAGGTAGGAAATAGACAGGGGGAGGGTAAGAATAGTATGGGAAATGTAGAAGCTGAAAAACTTATAAGTATGATACATGAACATGACTAAAGGGGGGCAAGTGGGTGGGAGAGGGTGTACAGGGTAGAGGGGAGTGAAGGGGGGAAATGGGACAACTGTAATAGCATAATCAATAAAATATATTTAAAAAATCATGTTCATGTAGGACTCGAATAAAAAGAATGAAAATTGTCTCCTCATACTGATTACACGACTCCATGGCAAATCCAGGCTTTTCGCTGGCTCTGACCAGCATTTCCCTCGGGCACGGGCCCACCTCCCTTGCTCTGTACCACCAGCCTCCCAGGCCATACCAATGGGGGTGGGAGTTCTCTCAGATATTCTCAACGACTGAACACAGCTGCTATACCCAGCAAGGCCAAGAAACTCAGGAAAAAGCAGAGGCATCCTCACTCCTCAGCCCCCACCGTGGCTCTGGGCACCTCGAGCACATTTGTGTACAAGCAGCCGGCTGCCTGGGCTCTTTGAGGTGGCTCCCTGGGTGTCTGGGGTCTCTCCTAACACAGATAAGGCCAGGGGTCCTCTTGGCCATTTGTCTCCCTAAATCCAAGTCAGTTATCACTATTTTCTAAGTGTCACATGCTTGCACCTTTATCTGGAGAAGCACGGTTTACTACAAGTAGAAACAATGGCCACAATGTTTAAGTCTCGAGCACGCAAATGCAGGCACACACCTGTGCTTTGGGAGGTGAATCCGTCATGCACTGCAACAGCATTGGGGCTGGGGCGGGGCTTACAAAGCTGTGTGGCCAGTGGGGAGCACAGAAAGGCTGCCCTTGGGCTTTTCCCCAGCTGCTCTCCCTCCAGCTTTTCTCAGCTCAGCCCAGAGTAAAGTGCACCTCCTGGTCGCAAGAAACAGGAGGGGAGCGGGCAGGACAGCTGAGCAGGGAGGCCGGATCGTCTCCATCCCCACTGCTGTCCAGCATGGCCACCTCCTTCCCGAGACCCAAAGGCAGGAGGCTCGCCTCCAAAACAAGGTGGTTTTAGACCATGGCAGTGCCCTCCACTTATAGATTAACCAAAGCTAGGCCCCAGTCCAGAAAGGACAGGCAGCAGAAACACCAACCACTCATTCAGAACTTTACTTTTTTACTGATTGGAAGAGGGAGGGGGGAGGGGAGAAAGTCACTGGTTTGTTGTTCCACTTATTTATGCACCCACTGGTTGATTCCCAACCGTGCCCTGACCGGGGATTCAATCTCCAACCACATTGTGTCGGGACGATGCTCTCACCAACTGACCTACCCCGCCAGGGCCTGATCCAGAACCTTCTGGACGGCACCTTTCCCCAGACTTCTGCTCTACTCTTTAAACACAGACTGCAGACAGGCAGCCTGCAGACCAAATCCAGCATGATTTGCTTGGATACCTAAGTGATTTTTTTGAAAACTGATTTAGTTAAAAACACACTAGGAAATTTCACTTAAATACCCTGACTTCCTGACTGAAGAACAATCAGAGTAGCTGCTCGCACACAGCAACGCCCAGATGGAGCTGGCAAGTGCCCACTTTGGACGGCCGTGTGTGCTCCTCTCAAACCTCACACCCAGCCTGCGACACTGCTCTGTGACGCCTGCCCGGCTCCCTCGCTACCGAGCACCCTTCACAGGCCCTGTGACCAGCATCGCGGCAGGGCTCCCATGCTGGTGCGGAGGGTGTCCCCCAATTCTGACCTGCGTGTCTAGAAGACCTGAGAGGAGCGTAGAGGAGAAAGGGTTTGCTCAGACGCTGCAGCTCCGTGAGGAGAAGGACTGACGGCTTCCGAGTCTCCCCGAGAGTCAGATCACCACCACGCTGTTTCCCACCACAGGACCCCTCCCGACAGACCAAGAACTTATTGCTGCAGGAAAATGGCCCGTCCTAGAGTCTCTGCTGCGGTTCTCTTTTTCCAGTTTCTGACCCACGCTGCCCGGACCTGGGCTCTCTCCCAGCTTGGCAAGATGACCCCGAGGCTGGGAGACGTCCCACAGGTTTTTCCAGAGTGTGGCTCGAGTATCAGCAAATAACAGACTTCAGTTTCCAGGAAGAGCCTCGGGGCTGCCAGACTTCAGCTCCTCACCTGGCTCTCCGGAGTCTGCCCCGAGGGGGGGGTCCACTGACAGAACGAAGACTCCTCGCTGCCCCACAGCCTTCACTGTGGTCCCGGACGCCCAGCCCTGTCGTCCGGGACCTGATCCCGACTTGGCACCTCCAGGCCTAGACGGCCCAGGGAGCGAACGAAGTAGCGAGGAAGCCTGCAGACCAAGCTGAGCTCCTCTTTCCGGGGCCCCAGGGCAGGCAGGACCAGCTGGCGGGCGTGCAGGTGCAGAGGGACGTGGCGGGCCTTGGCCTGCGGCAGGCCCAGCTTCTTCAGAGTGCCGGCAGGCAGCTTCTGCGCAGAGAAGAGGCAGTGTCGAGGGCGGCGCCGGCAGCACCTCACCCCAACCACTGCGAGGTCGGAAGCCCTGCCCTGGGAGGGACCAGCACTGACACCCCTACGAGCGGGTCTCAGACGGGTTCGGGATCTGGGTATAAGGGCAGTCCGCCTCACCAGGGACGCTCTACCCACCAGCGCTCTGGCCTTTCCAGAGAATGGGCTAGAACATCCCAAGACAGGAATGTTTCTGTGGTGGCTCTTTAACAGCGGCACGGAAGGCAGCTCTGAGCCTTCCGAAAGCCTCCTCCTCGGCCCGAGGCCCCTGAACAAAACCTGACACTGGTCACATGAAGCAGAAAGGTTCTGCTGAGACCCTGAGCCCCCCCCCGAGCACAGGAGCTGACTGTGTCTGAACCCCTCTGAAGGCCGGGCAACAGGGGTGGTGCCCTGTCCGAAGACCGTCAGCTCGGCCTGCTGTGATTCACTCCCACTGTGACCCACTCCCGGCCATCACAAGGGGACAGCCTGAGTTCGGCCGCTCCGCCTGCTGCATGCTGAGCGAAACCCGTGTTACCTGGGGGGCCAACCTGTTCCAGTCGGAGTACTTGTGGTCGCCAAGGATGGGGCAGTCCAGCCCAAAGGACAGGTGAACTCGAAGCTGATGTTTTATCCCTTTAGAAAAGAGAAGGGGAGCTTACGAGTGGCCACAGAAACAGCACTGGCCACTCATCATGGGGGCATCGGCGTCTCATCATGTTAAATCGAAGCACCGTGAGCTGGCACAGCCCCAACTACATTAAGTTACGAAGAAGAACCCGACAAACGCTAAGCTCGCAGGAGGCAATCACTGTCAACACTGCTACACTCCCCCTCCCCCAACAGCTCCTACTTCCCACAGAGGTAGGTAAGCATCACCATCATCTCAGTGTCTACCACTGCCATGCTGACTTTGTTAAAAATAATTTTATTTTATCACACTAAATAGTTTTGTTTTGCACATTTACCCTTTACTGTGGCAAAATACACATAACATAGAATGTTATGAACCGTTTCTAAGTGCACAGCCGTAAGCACATCCACGCTGCTGGGCAGCCATCACCACTGTCCAGCCCTGGGAATTCCGAGTCACCCTGAACTGCAACTCCGTCACCATTCCACCCTAAGCTCCACCTCCCCCTCCCCCACCCTCCGGACCCTGGTGAGCACCATGTCTCTCTAAGGCCAACTACTCTGGGAACCTCACAGAGACAGACTCCCAGTGCCTGCCGTCCTTCTGCATCTGGCTCATTTCACTGGGCTAACGTCCTCACGGCTCATCCTTGGGGCAGCAGGTGTCGGAGCTTCTTCTGTTTTAAGGCTGAGTAACACCCCGCTGCACGGATGGGCCACTTTCTGTTCACCGCTCGTCTGCCCGTGGACACTTGGGATGTTCTCGCCTCTCAGCCAATGCGAACAGCACTGCTGCGAACCCTGGTGCACAGAGGCATTTCTGGAGCCCTGCGCTGCTCAGTTCTCTTGGACAGATGCCCTGGGGCAGAACCGCTGGACCGCATGGCAATTCTGCACTTAATTTTTCGAGGAATCACTTGGCAAATTTTTAAGTAAGTGTAAACAAACTATTTACTATATCCCTCTGCTACCTACTGTTTTAAAGAATTATCCCTATGGGAGCTCCCGGCCTCCAATTAGCACCAGAAGCACACTCTCAAACGACAGCTGCTCTGAGGCGCAGCGCCCAGCCGGAGGCCAGGGTGCAGCTTGGCACCACTGGGACACAGTGCAGAACGGCGGCCCCTCCCACCAGGGAGGGTGGCCCTCTCACCAGTAACAGGCTGGAGCTCCAAGAGGGCGGAGGAGGCCGTGCTGCTCAGCACCTGGTACTGAGTCACAGCCACGTGTGCGTTCCGGCTAGTCCGCACTCTCACCATCTTCCCGTTGTCCATGCGGTAGCTTGGGGACAGCGTCATCTGAAGCCAAAGATAGCAAGATGTGATTTCAAGCGCCAAGCAAAAAGCCCCTCCCTCCAGGCCAGCTCGCCCACCTTATGGTGCTGCTGCTGCCCTGGCACCTCCTTCTCGATGATGGGGATATCCACGACTCCTGCCTCGGGGACCGGGACGCGCACGGTGACGGCCCTGGGGTGACAGAGACCCTTGCTTAGGCCACAGACACGAGTGAGGCACTCTCCGGGTTTGGCTACTTAGAGGTTTTTACGGAGGACCCACTGTGGTCAGTTCCTAAGGTCTGAGGGTTCCAAATAGTCTCTTGGTACAGTGCTTAGCCTTAGAGCTAGATACTATTCTTACAAACGTATCTTTTTTACTCCTAAACTAATAGGTGTTAACTGCAGAATAGTTGGGGAGAAAAATTATATTAACAACATGGTCTTTCACGCCAGTCATTAAAAATGAGTATGTAAAATTTAAAATAAAATTAGAGTAATATGATTTTTGCATCCTGTTTTTCTTTTTTAAATAATAAAAGAGGGTAAGTTCTGATCACATGTGAAATAAATAAAAAAAATAAATGAATGAACGAACAAAATTCACACGACCGTCCCTGCCCTGTTTGCCAGGCAGATAACCAGGGAGGGGCTGAGTCCAAAGACATCACAGAAGCCACAGCAACTCAGTGGCTCACTCAGAATCACTCCTGTGGGAGGTCTCGTGTCATTGGGTCACAACAGGCAGAAGACAGTGTCATCTGTCCTGACGGCCACGCCTCTCCAGGTAAATCAGAGCAGTCCTCTGGGGGACCAGGTGGCCTGCCACAGCGCCACCGACCACGCTGTGAAACACCCACTCGGACGTAATGCATCCCATCCTGGACACCCCACTGTGGGCTAGTCTGGGTGTGGGCTGCTAGTGGGTGTATTTTATCACCCTTCAACTGGGTCGTTACTACTCCATCACCCTTCCTGATCGCCGAACATCACTGCTCCAAAGTGGTCAGACAGTAAATGTTTACCAAATGTGAACAGGCACTGATTCGGAGAGGCACTGATTCTACACAGATGAACAAGACAAAAATCCCTGCTCTCAAGGAATTCAGAGTCTGCTGGGAAGGTTCAAACCAAAACTATAACGTAACAAGTCGCTATCAGCAAAAGCTAATCATTCCTACTGTGTTCCACTTGTAACTTCTACTTCCTGCACCTGGCAGGTAAGGCCATCATTAACTAGGTTCCATCCTGCCTTTCCAGTCTACCTCCACCACCGGCCACCGCAGACCGGACTGCTTGCCTCACCCCTTGCACGCACCGCTCCCACCACCTAGAACATCGTTCTTCATCTTGTCGATCAAACCCCTTCCTTCATCACGACCCGACCAACCGACTTCAAGCCCTCTGTGAGCCTTATCCCTGAGAATGGTCACCAATTCTGGACGTTCATGAAGAATATTCAAACAAGATAACAATTTTTCTATAGACTTACATTTTGATTACTTGTATACATGATAATAGTCTTGGTTTTCCTAACGTCAGCTTTTACTATGAACTCGGTACTGTGTTGAACACTTCACATGCATTATCTCACCCAAAATACAAAAAGAATAGTTATGAATCAAACAGAAAATGACGAACAGCCCAAAAGAAAATGGGCAAAGGAAACAGTCTGCTTACAGAAAGGGAAACTCAAAACAGACAATAAACCTGAAAAAGTCAGCGTCAAAAATACATAGAGGAACTGAAAATAAAATACTCCCTCCCCTTTTTTCACCTGTCTGATTGGCAAACCTTTTAAAAAACACAATGGGCCTGGCCATGTAGCTCAGCTGGTTAGAGCACCATCCTGACACACCAGCATTGCAAGTTCGATCCCCAGTCAGGCACATACAGGAAGCAACCAATGGATTTGTAAGTAAGTGGAACAACAAATCCATGTTTCTCTCTTTCCCTTCCCTCTATCCCTCTAAAATCAGTAAAAAAACAAAAATAAAAATTTAACAGCGCATCAGTCCGGCATAAGAGGAGGTGGGCACTCGCCACTGCTAGTGAGAATAAAAACTGACATGACCACTTCGGAGAGCAATCTGGGCGGCAGGACTCACCCATTAAATGGGTGCACCCCTCCATTCAGCAATTCCATTTCTGGGGATTCATCCTGAAGAGAGACTCACATATTCTTTGAAGTAGGTTCTGGAAAAAATGGGGTCACCTAAAAATAAAGCAGTTTATCTGTCAATAAAGCAGTTATGATACATCCACACAATGGGATGCTACAAACCCATTAAAAAGGAGGTAGCTTTAAATTACACCACAGAATGCTCTCCGAGATCTACTGTCCGAATAAAAAAAGCAGTATGTGAAACAGCTCAAAATATGCTGCTGTCTGTACCGTGCGTCTTGTACGTGCCCGGTGAAACCCGGGGAGTGCAGCAAGTCACTAGTGACAGTGGCTGCCTCCGAAAAGGAAATCGAGTAGATGGGGGACAGGAGTAGGTATTGTTTTTGCTCCTGTATCTTTCTTCTGTTAAACAAAAGGGAGGTAGCCCTGGCTGGTGTGGCTCAGTGGACTGAGTACCAGCCTGAAAACTGAAGGGTCGCCGGTTCGATTCCCGGTGAGGACACAAGCCTGGCTTGTAAGCCAGGTCCCCAGGTAGGGGCATTCAGGAGGTAACCAATCAATGTTTCTCTCACATATCACTGTTTCTCTCCCTTCCTTCCTCTCTCTAAAAAATAAATAAAATGTTAAAAAAAAATATGGAGGTAAACCTGTATGTACTAACATGGATTCCCCATGACACAGAGTTAAGGAGAAACAAAGTACGATGTACACTGTACGTGATACATGTATGTACACATATGTTTGTAGACACACACACACACTGTACACACTACACACATACCTAAATATATTAAGGACCAAAGGAATAAAACCCAAACTACCCTAAGGGAAGGGACAAAAATGGTAACAGTGGGTGGAATCTCTAGAAGTGTATATCATCTTTGTTGGTTGACTGTTTTGCCACAGGAGAAAAATCATGTATTACTTGTATAATTAATTTTCAATGATTTTATGTATAGCTGTTATTAGGAACCACAACTCTATCAGAGTAGAATAATGTTCTACCACTAACTCTGTTTCCTATACCGTTTAACTGCCCACAGGTCCTGGCACAGTGCCTTGTCGCCAGGAGTTGCTGCTGTAGGAGCGCATGACTAGCAGAAAGGGCTGCCTTCGTTTCCACCCCCTCGGCCGGCGGGCTCCGTACCAGTACTTCTTTGTCACCTGACGGGTTCTGAACAGCTCTTGGACTTGGTGCGCCACTTCCTTCTCCCAAGCCAACACCATCACGCCTGTGGTTTCCTTGTCCAGCCGGTGGCACAGATGCAGGGGCTCTGCCTTGTGGCCGTGAAGCATCTTTGCCAGGACAGGTAGTACATCACTGATGCAGAGCTGGACCCCAGGGCCACCTATGGATGGAAAAGACAGAGGTTTGAGTGGTCACAAGAAGATCCCACCAAAGAACTACTTGGGGAAATGAAGCCTTTCCTGGATTAACTACCAATGCTCTCTAGAGCCTTATTACTGACATGCGGTCCAGGCACTAGCAACATCTGTACACCAAGGAGCTTGCTAGAAAGGCATCTCAGGCCTCCAACCAGACTATTAATCAAAATCTGTACTTAACAAGATGCCTGAGTAACTCATGCATATTATATTTGAGAAGCTTTGTCCTAGAGCAGGGGGCTTTCTCCTCAGGCATAACCACTCTTTAAATCTACTTATGTATATGTACTCACAATAAAATCAGCAATTAAAATGAGGAGGTCTGATATTTTACTCTATAAACAAAGGCTGGAGAATTTGTTAAGTAAACCCTAGTGAGAAATGCAAGACCATGAGGCCCTCCTGGCGAGATATTTCTAGGTTCTACTCTGTGTACTCTCCTAAGTAGCCATTGACTTTGGAAAGGTTGCTAATCTTTCTAATCTTAATCCTTCTCATCTATAAGATGTAAATATCTGTAGTGTAATTATCTCACGGGAAATGAGAAGGCAAGAAGCTACTGTGAGCATCAGTAGAGAAACAAACCCACACAAGACACTTGGCGACATTTAATTCACCGCCTTTATGTGCAACTGTCTCCACAGCTCCCCAAAAAGCATTCTTCTTCCAGCAAAAATATGCCTTTCCCCCCAGCAAAACTCTTTCCACAAATGCATTTTTTCCTGTCTTCCTGACTCACTCCAGCTGTCTCTAACACCTACATTCAGCATTTATTCAAAAATATTCTAGTGTCCATTAAGTTCTAGATACCCCAGGGTTTGGTTGGGTATACTCCAACACACACACACCCCATATATGTTTTTCCTAACTTTTCATTTTCTTTTTATTGATTCTAGAGAGGAGAGAGGAGGGAGAGAAAAGGGAGAGAAACATCAATGTGAGCGAGAAACATCCATCTGTTGCCTCCTGCACTTGCCCCAACTGGGGACTGGGCGCAACCCAGGCATGTGCCCTGACCAGGAATCCAACTAGGTAGGACCCTTCCATCTGGGGGGGATCACGCCCAACCAATTGAGCCACACCCACAAGGGCTACACTTTTTCCTTATGTTATTTCCTCCTCCCCAGTTTTGATGTAAATAACTTAAAGACAAATCACACAGCCTTTATATTCTCCTACAGCAATCCCTGTAGAGGTCTGCACACAGCGTGTGCCGTAAACCGCTGCTGACTGCCAAACGTCGGGAGGGTGGAGACTGTCTTATCTCACTATCCTCAATAGTGCCTTACGTGGAACAGCAGTGCACAAAAACTTAAGTTATTCTGAACGCAAGGCTTCTGAGAGCCCCAGAAGCTATGTGTGAGTGTTGCCCCCAGTTGTGGCTGAAAGCGGCATCGGTCCCCCTTCTTTCATCCGTGGTCCTTACCATGCACGGGGAGGCCATAGGGTTTATTGATGACCACAAGGTCCTGGTCCTGATGCACAATCCCTCGCCTCAGTGCCTTAGCGAGCACGTTGGGGTGGACTCGCTGCAGCTGCTGTGTGAACCGCACTAGTTCTTGCACTCTCCGCTGGACGGAGTTTGTGGGCACCTACCGGGAAGAGAAACAGCGATGGGAAATGCCTGGTGGGGAAGACCCTCCATAAGTCTGGGTAAGAATCTGAGCAGGGAGGGAGTCATCTTTGCATTCGACTCGCCCCTTCCCGAGTAATTTGAGGGGGGGAGTACTTAGCACCGAGCCCGCAGTACAACACCTTACCCCTCAAACCACTTCCTCCACGTGTTCCGCCAGCCCCCATTCTCCCATCGCGGACCCGGACGTCGACTAGCGAGGTCTCACAGGACACTCCTCGCCACTGAGCGCAGTCTCATGGGAGCTGAACTCTTTCACTCCGGACTCACCGGCCCCTTGTTCTTTTGTTCCTGTTTCTGGGCTCGGAGCCTCTCCGCTAACTGCTGGGCATCCAGAGGCCTAGAGGCAGCAGCTGCGGTACAAAATGGTTTAGAGAGGAGAGAAAGGAGACTCCCCACACGCTGCCCGGAGCTCCAAACCCAGAGGGGCCGCGCGGGACAGCTGGGCGCCACCATCTTGGCGAGGAGGGCGGGTCAAGGCAAGACCACCTGACTTGGGAGGCGGTTTGGGCGGCTGAGCGACTCACGTGGGTCCAGGCTTGGGCCTGGGAGCCGAGGGGCTGGAGGGTGGGGGCGGGGAGGTGGGGGAAGTGGGTGGGACTAGCGGTCCTAGTCACGTGGCCGTGCAAGCTAAGTGCGCCTGCGCGTGTGGTTAACTGCAGTTAGAGCGGCGGCGTCTGGAGCGGTCCGGGTGAGTGTGTCGGTGAGCGCGGCTGGGGTTGGGAAATGCCGGCTTTTCAAGCGTTAACTTCACGTCCCACGGTCTTTGTGTCGGAGAGCTCTGCCCTGGGAGGCCGTATTTCCCTGTGGAAGAGAACCCACCCCAAACCCCCTCCACCCCCGCAGAGCGATGCCCTCAAACGCTCGACCCGGAGCCTCCTCAGGCGCCGGCTCGCGCGTCTTGGCAGCCAGGTTCCCGGAGTTTGACCAGTCCCGGGGAACGCGTCCCGTCCGTTCGCGTCCATTTGCTTGCCGCTCGATCTGCGGAGATGCCCGGATCTCTTGTCACCTTCCGACTCCTAGTCTCTTTGTTATACGTGGTAACCTGTCCTCCCCGTGGGATGACGGAGAGCCCTCGCGTTATCCGGGGGTCCCCGGTCCGATTTCCTACCTAGGGAACCCCTTGAGTTTCTTCTGTCCTTTGCGAAGAAGAGTTCATTTCTTGTAGCCTCCTCTCCCCCTGCCTACCCTTTTCTCTGGGACTCCTTGCGAAGAAAAGGTTGAGAGCACCGAGCATCGACTTCCCCGTGTGTTCCTTCACGCTCCCTTCCATGCTTTGCAATCGCCCCAAATCCTCCTCTTTTCTTCTTTTCCTAAACGTAATGTTGGGACCCCCGGTGACCGCACTGCATGCGACTTTCTGTGAAGATGAACGTTGGTTGGGATGGTAATGTTAAAAATACCGTGGAACGTACCTGCCGTTCGTTAAGAAGAAAGCCGTTGCCGAGTTGTGAAAAAGGTTGGATCCGTAAAGAGGAAACAATTTCTCAAGGCTGCTTAGAAGGAAGGCTACGTGAGGAGTTAGAGCAGGTCGTAGAAGTAGGTTTGCCTGCCAGCCCTCCAAAAACAGGTAAGTGGAGCTAGGCTGTAAACGACTTTAAGTTGAAGACTTTGAATTAGATGTGATAAGTAGTGAGGAGTCTTTAGAGCTTCTTGAACAGAAGAGAGACTCCTTGCAAGGGGAATTCTAGAAATGAACCTGGCAGATGAATGCGGGACAGATTGAAAAGCAAAGCAAAGGGCTTTGGTAGCAGGGAAACCCGCTAGGATGCCGCAATCCAGGCAGACGATAGGAGACCATTATGCTTCATTCCGGGGTCTTTTCTCCCTACACTGACCCGTCGTTTGAGTTAGAATTGATTTCGAGTTGTACAAGTCAAGAGGCACCATTGGCTGCTGCTGTTGAACTGTGGGTCCCTTAAGGACCCATTCATTTGTTTTTTCCCACGTCTGGCACTGGAACCTCACAGATGTTCATTAGAGGAAGTGCATCAGAGACATGCGTTAGGTATGTCTGAACATTCTGATTTGTCTTAGTTCTGTCGCTTTTTTGACCTGAAGAATGGAGGTGGGAGTAACTATTTGTAAAGAGTGGGAAAGATAGCATGCGTATGTTTCTGTAGTAAGATAGGTGATTGGGGTAGAATTCCAGAGAATTATGAGTGAGTTTGGGAAACGACTTCTTTCTCTCCTGTCCACACCCCCCACCCACAAATTCACAGGCAAGACATAGATCTGTGAAAGTTGAGAGGTTCTACCCTACAAGAATGACTGCCTTTTACCTGTATGCCCCTGACCCAGGTTTTAATTTCACTGAAAAGTCACATTGTGTATTACTTAGGTACATGAAGCCCCTTTTCCAAGAACTCTGAAATTTGGACTTCGGGATTTTAATTTACATCACTGCATTAATTCTAGTTACCATTTTGGGTATAGTACTTTCATGGTTTTGTGGGGGCCAGGAAACCCCATTTTTGCCTTCATCTGTCCTTAATGGCATTGAAGAAATGGTAGCTGTTCTTGCAGAATTGGCCTTCTGTGGCAGGAAACAGAATGAAGAACCAACTCCGATGTCATCGCTAGGGACACAGAGCTTGTGTTCTTGGGTTTCAGTTTAACCCAAGAACACACTGTAGAGCCAAAGAATAAAAACACTGGTCACTTTTTTTATGGAGAAGGATCTTTTAAGTTTTTCCTGTTGTAAGAAAAATTTGAAGAATTCAAAGTCTTTTGTTTCCTTGGCATCACAGTACAGTTTTAGCCAATATGGGTACAGAAGTTGCAACTTCCTCAATGTTTCTCCTATGAGTCCAGGCACTTGGTGATTGAAAGTAGCTGCTCTCTAAGTGTACAAGAATTTATGCAAATACAATGTCTGCTTTTATTTATTTTTAAAGCTCTGTTGCTTCCTTCCTCACTCAGGTGATCCTATCTTAGGCAGTTTATTTTACCCACTTCTGCACCAATCTCACATTCTTCCTTTCATTGAGGATTCTTCATCTGGATTGTTTGCTCAGTACAAGGAAGAAAATTCTGTTTGTGGTCTCTTCATTTTTATGGAGTTCAAACATGGTATACTTACATTTTTAAAAATTTCATTTATTGGGGTAACCATGGTTAATAACAAATTTCCGGTGCACAGTTTTTTAATGCACCTGTGCACTCCGTTGTATGCTCATCACCTGAGGTCTGGCCTCCTTCCATCACTATGTATTTGCCCTCCTTTACCGTAATCCTTCCCCTTTGGCAACCACGATCTATAAGATTTTGGTATATCATAATATATCAAGTGCCCCCCAAATAACAATATAAAGAATTTATTCATTTTTAAGGGTATTTCCTGACCTAAACAAAAACAAAGCTACATTTCAATTGCACGGATAGGAACAAGGACTGGCTAAAGAAGGAACTTGTGTTTGAATATCACAAATTTAAGTTTAACTAATGGCATAAGATTAAATTCTGGCTTCTTGAACAATGATTTGCAAGTTGTAGATTAACCAGCAGCTCAGTCTCCCAGAAGAGCAGGAAGTACTTGGACATTGTTTTATGGTTTCAGAAAGAGCCAGAGAAGCGATTAGGCGGGGCTCGCTGGACCTAGAAGGTGCAGTTGTTGGGAGCTGGGAGATCTGGGGACTAGTCCCAGTTCAGCTGCTTGTGAACTTGAATAACCTGGGCTTCAATTTTTTTTGTCTTGTAAAAAAAGATCCTTCCAACTCTAAGCTTTTATAAAGCTTTTCCACTAACACTTAAGTACTTTTCCTTCTAAACAAGTAGAATTTACTTCAGACATCCCTTAAATACATTTAGCACGGGCATGGGGAACCAGGATTCTGCTCTCTACCCCAGACTTTAAAGTTACTGCCAGGTGAACTAACATTTATATTTGGAGGTTACTTTTATTGAGTGGTGTTGGAATATACCTTAAGATGTCCTATGTAGGGCATGGCAGAGGGAGTGCAGACAGAAAAAAAAAAAAATCAGAGCCCTGGCTGGGCAGAGCGTTGTCCTGATACACAAAGGTTGTGTGTTCGATCCCTGGCAGGGCTCATCCAAGAATCAGCCAATGAATGCATAAATAAGTGAGCAACAAATCAATACCTATCTCTCTCTCTCTCAGATGAATCAACAAAAAAAATTTTTTAACTATTAGAAATCAGTGGCATAGACCTATAACATGGCTGTTCTTTTCCCCATACCAGCATTTTAAAGATATTCTGTTATACTAATGCTCCTCATTGTATTTCTATTCAGCTTTTGAGTAATAAATCAAAGCAGGTGTACCTTAAACCAGTACTTCCCAAACTTTTTCATATCACGGCACGTGTGGAAACGATTGTCGCTTCCTGGAGGAGACCTGCAGGCAGCCCCCAGAAGGCGGGGGCAGTCCCTAGTCCTTGCGTGACTGCACCTCAGCCTGTTTCTTCATATGAGCAGTGGAATTAATAACACGTGTCTAGTAAGAGTGCTGTGATGAGACACGAAAGAAATGTATGTGGTGCCTAGGATGTAGCAGACACTCAAATTGTTAGTAGCATTTCATGAGTATAAAATAAGACCATTACATTAGAGCATTTTCAAGATTACAAAGAGCTGTGTTTGTGGCATTTATATTAATGAAGATGACCAGGGCATCTTATGGGAAAAGGCACACACACCAGAAGGGTGAACATGGAGTCCATGTTTCCAGAGCATGAGCAATGGAAAACTGAGGGATATTCACCATGCGGTGGTTAAAAGCCAGAGGATATCAGGATCCCTAGAGAAATTTAAGAAGACGTTTGCAACACCTAGTTGCTTAAGTTGAATAAACCTATTCTTTGATGACTTGAAATTTTAAACAATAAGCTACAGGTATGGATTGCTATGTTTTAATTGTCAGTGAGTGGAGCATGCTGTGTTGGCTTTAATGATAAGTGAATTTACTGATATTAACTTCCAGGAGCTGTTTTGAGGAGACCTGAGCTGCTGTTAACTGGTTTGGAAAACCAGATTTCTGCTGAGTTTACTGTTCCCAGTACGGGCTAAGACTCCTGTGATACCAAGGAAAGACTTTTAATTCTTCAAATTTTTCTTAGGACGTATAAACAACAAAACCTACAAGTTCTTTCTCCAGAAAAACTACCAGTGTTTTTATTCTTAGGCACTATAGCGAGTATCTTGGGTTAACCTACTAGTCAACATTTCCCCGGTGATAAGAATCACCAGAGATGCCTTTACATCTACAGATCACTCCTCTGGACATGGTGACTCTGTGAATTGTAAGTTAGGGCCCAGGGACCAGTTTGCCTCGCCCTTTCCTGCTCAGCAAGCACCCTGGGGGCCTGGGCTGAAAGTTCTTTTGTTTATGAATATATCACACAGAAGGTAAGGTTACTTAAAAATATAGAGAAAAATGGCAAATTTTAAATGTTGCTGTTTCTCCTGTTTTATTTTTTGAAAGATTTTATTTAAAAAAAGATTTTATTTATTTAGTTTTAGAGGGGAAGGGAAGGAGAGAAGGAGAGGAACATCAGTGTGTGGTTGCCTCTCATGCACCCCCTACCCGGGACCTGGCCGGCAACCCAGGCCTGTGCCCCAACAGAGAATCAAACCGGCCACCCTTTGGTTCTCAGGCCGGCACTCAATCCACTGAGCCACAACCAGCCGGGGCTATTTATTTTCAGAGAGCGGGGAAGGGAGGGAGAAGGAGAGGGAGACATT